TCCGCCCCCTTCGTGTACCGTGCCGGCCTTCATAGCTGCCACTCACTAACAGCACTTGCCCCAACAGTCTGTTAAAGGTTATATGGGAGAGCTTTGTCTTTGTGTGCAGTCGATGGCACGGACGTTCTATAGTTGCGTCATTAAATATTTCATGTTGTTTTCTTTGCCCGGCCACACTCTCGGCTAATTGGCAGAAGTGTTGGTCATCTTAAGTTTTGCTTTCGTATTTTGTGCTGAAGTGTAATAATGTACTCGTGCTAAAGTATTTTGCATAGAGCTTAGACCTGCGTGCTATAGAAGTTGTGCATTAGCGCAGCCAACCACACTGTGCTGAATGTGCTGTTCTGCAGCAGCAGTTCAGATTACAAAGTTCAGGACGGGGTCCTGTTGATATTGATATAGCAAGTACAATATTGGTTTATCAAAAAAAATCTGCAGCTTTTTTGATAAATTATTGTTTTCTATTTTCCTCTTTTTTATTCACATTAATAAGTGCATTTGAAACACTGCAATACATGCAACATGCTTAAATATGCAGTGTTTAGGTATACAAGTACATGCTTATTTTCAATAAATGTGATATGGCTTCTGTAGTTGTGGAGTAGCTGCTTTGGTAACTGTCAGCTATGCGTGCGTGTGTGACTGAATAATGGCCTTTGAACAGAGCCACCTCACGGCTAATTGGGATCCTATGCAGATGTGGGAAGGGTGCCCTCGACACACAGCGATAGACAGTGAGATACACATGGAGAGAGAGATAGACAGAGACAGACATGGAGAGAGAGAGACACACATACAAAGCGACAGAGACATGGAGAGAGTTGGCATAGAGATATTTGGGATCCATAAAGTTGTGGCCCTTTGCGGGTACACAAATAATACCAATACTTCCATTTATATTGTCTCCATAAGGTACAAATTAGTCAATTGCTTTTAGCCTAGGTAACCCCCTAATGGCAACAGTCCCTGAGTGGCACACAGCAACTCAGCACCGGCCTGCAAATGTTCATTATGTCTGCCAGTAGGTGGTAATTATTGCTATCGCAATTGAGTCATGGAACCTATTAAGCATACGAGTAAAGGCACCGCTGCTTCTCCCATACTAGGACTACTTCCTTGGGTCCACCTCTACCATCCGTGGTCATGCGCCACGAAGGGCACCTCTGATACAGTACTGGAGGCAAAGGTTTGTGGAACGTACAGATTTGTGAAACTCACAAACTCAAAGACCCAGGTCGCCGGGAGATAGCAATATTGTAAGAGGATTAAATCCATCATTGTGGAGCTTTCATTGTTATCTTCTCGTGTGTGAATTTTCTCTGAGTACTATGGTTTAAATCCACACAGAGCAAAATACTCATGATTGGAATTGGCCCAATATCTCAATGTAGCTGGATCCTCCTGAAAATGAGCTGAAAGACTCAGTGAAGCTTTCCTGCATAATTGTAATTACTAGAGTAATACTTCGTTCCTTCATTTTATCCATCATTGTTTATGTCAAAGCTATGGCATGCTGCTTTAAAAGTCTGGGTAATGCTTGAAGTATGATGGAAATAATCCCACCATATTTACTTATATCCCCCACCCCCGTACCACCGTCACCTCCTTCCTCCCGACACCCCTACCCAGCCCGAGGGCAGTAATGAAGGATTACAGCCGCATAACAATACAAGTTTTAGTTATTTGGCTATGAATCAACAAATGCCATTGAAGGTATTTTAAAGAAAAATCCTGTGCCAAAAAAAATCTGTCTTATATGACGACTGCTCGACTGTTGGACTTAGGCTTTAGAGACTGAATTGTCCATGTTCAAGAATTAAAAAAAACCATTGGGCCATTCTTCTAATTACTCCGGTTTACAGATGCCGCTAAGATATCAAGTTTAAAACATAACTCTCAGCTTCCTGCACAAAGCAAATATTCACTAAGATTAAATGCTTCTAATCAGAGGGCACTCAATAAACTTCGGCAGTTTGGAAAGTGGTACATAGGCTAAAGCCTGTAAACCAAACTCAAAAGCATTGCCAAGTTTTGTGCAACAGAAGTGTTTTATGTCCGTGGTTCTTGAATGCATCACAAACTCCTGAATTCCATATTAGCTCAGTGATCGCATTCTTTGCAGTAGGTACCTGGTGCCCCTTGAAGCTGTTGTCTGACAACTTGAAGAGCTGGATGTTAACTGTAAACATCTACAAAAATCACTGGGCTAGTGTGAGGTCGAGCAATGGTGCCATAGATAAATATAATCTGTCATGTCTATGTCTTTAGCTGATCCCAGTGACAATTTCACTCAGCCCTCATTCCATTAAATTTGTCTCACAATTAGTATTATTCACGTATTAATGCTGGTTTATCCAGGAAAGTATCAATATTTTTTCAGGAGGGTCCTTGCCAAGTTTTATCAGAATGGGGAGATGTTGCTTCTGTTTGTCATCCAAAATAGGAAAAATTGCAGGTCTTTTTATAGCATTGGGATGTATGGCCAATACCTGTTACATTGTTTGTGTTTTGATAGCTACGGGAGGAAACTGGACGGTGCAGAGAAAACCCATGCAGAACAGAGGAAAAACATTCACAGTCCACACAAAGGTGGTCAAGTCGGGAATCTACATCAGGGCTTTCTTGCTATGAGGCACCATTGTGCCACCCTGTCACCCAAATTGAACCTGTAAAATACAATACAGACAACACAGAGAGGATTGCATACATTTAACCTATCATTCAAATATCTGTTTTTTTTTCTGTTTGAGAATGGTGAGCAGGAAGTGTAATGGTGTAAGATTGATTTATATCAGACTGTGTTGGAATTGGTCAACTGGCATAAAAATAACTAAATCACCACAATGATCATGAACACTAGTTTACAACAGAAAAAATATACTTAATAATCTGATGTTCAGGTATTCACCCTTCTTTAGAACAGCGCAGAAAGATGGAATGACTTCACAGTAAATCTTTCTACTGTAGCCTTTTCAACCATATATATTATGTGTTAATGATGAATATGGTGATTTTTGAAAAATATATTAGTTCTAATATGCGTCCAATATAATAATGCCCAGTGTGAACATTCCATTGATGTCCAATAGTGAAGCATTTTTTCATTGTTAATACAGAATGCCATATGTGCACCCCACCAGTATATAGCACAAACACGGGGCTGTTTGCATGCTGTGGTGATTTGTTTATTGCATTCAGGGTGCTGACATTTTTAATCATCCTAAAAAATATGACACTCATACACACATTGTGTACATAATGTAACCTTTGTGCAGTTTTCCTGTATGTTGCGAGGCTGTTTGAACTCCATATGAGCGCGGTAATGCCGCACTGTGCTTGGCCAATTCATGACAAAACATGAGCGCCCTTTGCGACTGTGTTGACTGTGCATTTGTTAACAGACGGGGAGACACCGATCATGTAAAATATATACGCTAAGTACACACAAAAGTGACCCAACCAAAATTTTTGGCGTCCGCTGAGGTTGAAACGACCCAGCCTTCGGGGTTGGGACACTACGACTTGGCCATCACGGAGCTCGGAGCTAGGAGCCCTGTGTCCGTGTGCCCACTGCCGGGCAGGGGCACATTGCGCCTGCGCTCGCTTTGGCCACCTCCATACTTTTCGTGGAATACGCGTAACCTTCAGCCTATAGCATTATCATCAAGAATGTTAAAAAAATAGATATATAATGTTCAAGCTACCGATGTAACATTGACCTATCATCCCACTTGCGAACGAGCGTAAGCATTCGTCATGAGCACCATATGAGTTCCTGTGCTCATTACCGTCATAATAATTCACTTTTTTGTTTCCATTATTTGCATAATTTTCTAACCCCCAATAACATTTTATTAACGATAAGTAAAATAATGTTTGAACAGCATATGATGCTGTTCAAAGTAAATACTTTGTGTGCAACATATATTATGAACCAAATACCTGCACTAGAGGAACCATTTAATACATATACATTTATCAATTTAACACGTGGTAAGCTTTCGCGACCAATATTATCCATAATAGTGGTTTTTAGGTTAGATCGCCTAAATATAAATGTGTCGTTAAACCCACCACCACCCGACACAGCCAATTAGTAAGGTTTGTCATGTAAACAAAACATGCCAATTCATTACTAGTACAGCACACCGGTGTGTAGGAGAGTAAACCCACAACATTTACAATTTGAGTATGTTTCGCCAGTAATTACAACTAGCAAAATCAGGTGACAGCTAAAGTGCGATGATGCTAGTTGTAATTACTGGCGAAACATCATACTCGAATTGTAAATGTTGTGAGTTTACACTCCAATACACCAGTGTGCTTTACTGGGTGCGAATTTGCATGTTTTATTTACGTGACAAACCTTACTAATTGTATTTGTCGGGTGGGGGCAGGTTTAACTACACATTTATATTTAAGCAATCTAACCCGAAAACCTATGTTACGGATGTACATTTAAGTTATTTCATTTTTGTAAAAAGCTGTTATTTAAAATTTCCACTTTTTACCTGGTCAGCACAGCTGCACTGGTTGAGTATTCCCGTGGAGTTTCAATTGTTGATGAATGCTGTTTTACTTTTTCGCCTATGTAATACATTTTGCAAAAACATTTTTGACTCGGAAAATTATTAGCATTTGGCTTATTCTGTGGAGTGTTGTGCTCAGTATAAATCACTCCCAGCGGGGCACAGACATGAGATTTTTTACACGACGTTTTTCTTTTTTGATCTGCCTCCCCCCTCGAAGACCAGAAGTACCACTTTCATCATGAACACAGTCGGATGTGTCACCGAGTTAGGCTACAAAGTTGTGGAAAGCAATCATGTTATGCATGCCCTGTTGTGTTCCTCTTGAGCCTTGTAATATTTGAAGAACAAAAAAATGCCGACTTTGTGAAAATGTACTTTAACTGGCTCAGTTGTAGGTATTATTTTTTATTATTTTTTTCTTCTTCATTTTCACTCTTTCCACCTGTCTGACACCACCGTCCCTGGCAGGATTCACGGCCATCGGGCTGAGTGACCAGGTGCAGCTGCTGGAGTGCTGCTGGCTGGAGATCCTAATCGTGGGGCTCATCTGGAGGTCTATCGATCGCCCTGGTCAGCTCCACTTTGCTCCAAACCTCATCCTAGGAAGGTACATGAGTCTCGGGAGGATCGTTCGGGTGGCCGCGTAGCCCGGGGAACATTGCACACAGCATCTTCGCGAATTTTGTTTTCATGTCTTTAGTATTTTTTTCAATATGTTATCCTGATTTTTCTGACAGCACCATGTCACGAGAGGAAGAATCCGTGCTGAAGTCTCACAGAGCATGCAACCCTCAATGTTAGAGAATGGTCTGCAAAAGCAGATGTCACAGAACTACTTCCGAGTTCCCTTGAAGAGACCTTTTATCCACACGACGGGGCACCACTTTCCCACCTGTCTTGTTACAATGAGAAAAGCTCACGAATATTTTTAATTACCAGGGCAGTAATTTAGCCAATTTGAGTGAAAAACCCAATTTAATATGATGGGTTTTTGTCTGATCATTGGTGACCAGGTTAAGACTATGAGCTCACTACACTTGAGAACTCTGACCTCTGAGCCACTGGGCCACGTTGTTTCTCTTATTTTGGTGCAATTTATTTATTTGTTTCTTAACTTTTAACCTTACTTGGTAGTGGAGTTTTGATTTGCTTGGTAGTAACTGTATATACATTTTGGTCCTCATATAATTCATGTACAGAATTATGGGATACAATTAGCATGAATTACGCGATTTAAAATTACGTTATTATTGTTATTATATTAAAGATTGAATTCCCACAACTGCCTGGAAACATTTCTGGTGAATTATCAGAGCACGCTATTTGCTACAGCATGGCATATGAAACAACCTGAGGTGGCATTCACTTACAAGAGTTGACATATGTATGTCCTGTCACAGGCCAAAATAAAATGTTACTAATTGCCATCAACAAAATGGATACAATTATAGAAAACCTTAGTCACTTTAGCCTCATGTGCAAAAGCCAAATTTATTATTACTCACAATGGGCTTTCACCTGGGTCAACAAGTCACGTTAAATTGTGTTGAGGTCAAGTCCAGACTCAAGCCATAGTTCTTACCACCTCTGTTTATGACTGTTCCAGGCAGCGGCACCTTAGCGTACGCGCTCTCGCGATCTGCCCCCCTTGTCTCTTCCCTCTGTTTGTGCAGCATCTTGAGAAGTAACATATTACATTTGAAAATAAAAGTTATCCTTTAAATTATACAATCTTCATATATATCTTTTAATGATGAATGAATTTGCTCCGAGCAATATTTTTTTCTTGGGATAATTAACTGAAACATCTGTAAGCTTGAGTGTGGGAGTTCTGCTTCCTGACCCTTTCAGTGATCTCATCTAAGTTTGACCCTAATGGTCTGAGTTAGCAGCTCCGAGTAGCATCCACCAATGTTAAAATAAAACACAAATATAATTCTAAAACTGGAAATAAATGGCTCGTGATCACAAATCTAATTATTTGGTGACACTGCGTTGGCAGTGATGCACATTAAGCAACACAACCCCAACACTTTCGTCAATAACATGGGGGCCCTAAGAAGGGTAAATATATAATTGGCGACGTTTTTGGGCAATGCTATGTTAAATCATTAAGACGTGTGGTCATAAATTATAACCTCAATGTTAAATTAACACTTTTCCATGAAAACACACACCTGCTTATCTCTGAACAGTGAGTAAATGTCCAAGATATTATTTCAAAAATGTATAAGATAAACGTTTCAATATCACGTTGTGATAAGCACATGGTGATGGGCTGGATAACAGATCAGCTGCATACAAGAAAATTGCTCTTAAACTTAATTGCCTCCAGTCTTCATTGTCAGCGGCTGAAATAACAAATTGTAAGTCTGTGATGGGCTTAGAGTGAGGTGTGAGGCAGTTCTGGCACCCATCACGCTGTGTCTCCCCCAGCAGTCCTCGGCAATTGCCCTTGATGGCTGTCTTTAGGGCCGTTTTGTGCCTGCAGTGCAGTTCCATGTTGGTGATGCTAATTGTCCCAAGTCCACAACATTTCGATTTGAACACATTTTTGTTAGCTTGTGTGTCCACCCTTATTAAACATTAAGGCAAGTTCTAACACGTATATATTTACATCGTGAATTATGTTTTTTTTTTATTAAGTAAATTTGTGATTTGTAACAAAATGCAATCTGCACAGCCAGTGCAACATAAGGAGGCTGTTTTGACAACTTTTTTTTTATTGCAACCTCCTTTTGGAGAACTGCTGTTTTGTGGAGAACACATGCAGTGTATGCAGGACAATCTTAATTAGCCCTGAAAAATTGCAAAGAGACTAACGTGTTTAGTGTGGGTCAGTAAATGTGTCTACGTTGAGATCAAGTGGAGTATTCTCATGAAATAGACAGATGGACAAGCGATCAAGCAAACAAGGCCAAACAGAACTGACATCCAAGCAGACTAAGCAATACAAACATACGGAACATTGCGAAAATAATCCATAATAGACGTTTTTTTGGGGTTAGATCGCGTAAATGTATAAATGTGTCGTTAAAACCCCGCCACCACCCGACACAGCCAACTAGTAAGGTTTGTCACGTAAACAGAAAGTGCCACTTCGTCACTCGTACAGCACACCGGTGTGTTGGAGAGCCAAGCCACAACATTTACAATCCGAGTATGACATTTCACCAGTAATTACAACTAGCTTCATCAGGCGACAGCCAGATTTGTGGAGAAGTCTAACTGTTCCGTCCCTTATATAATGACACAATTATATATTTACACGATCTAACCCAAAAAAAACCTCTTATGGATGATATTGGTCGCGAACACCTACGTGTTAAATTGCGAAAATCAAACATGTGTGAGCAAAGCTGGCAAGGCAAGCTACGCCATGGCCAGTTTAGTAAACCTGTGAATAGACCTGTCAAGGGCTGCTGAACTCACCACACCTCACCATAGCTTCCTCCCTCATGCTAGAGTCTGCAGTTGGTGTAAAGTCGACAGGTGACCCGCATGGTCTGCTCTCAGTCTCATCATCACCACCGCCACCACTGTCTGGCTGTTGATCCTCACCGTTGATTTCATGACTCCAGCACCAATCTCAGCAACCGGTTCTCCATCAGACACAGATGTGTTCCAGGCATCGCAATCCTGGTTATATTTAAAATACTTTATTGCCATGTTGTATTATGGACGTCCAAGTTGCTAACCCTATGTTATATAAAATCCATGGCATCCTCCACATGCACCAGCTGTATTGAATAGGCAGTAGTTGTATTGTCGAGCTCTCTGACCTATGCAGTTATGGTGCACAATACTTTTGTCCTGCTCATATTTACCTTGATTCAACTTTGCATCCTTCTTGGTGAAGTTCTGCAATCATTTATTTTCAGTTATTGTTTTACTGCTTTTTGAATTGACCGTCATCATCAAATCTGAGAGTGCTATTATTTTCTCCAAAAGGTTTACGCATTAATTTCTCCAATCTAGCTTTCAGAAAATATCTTCTAATGTTGCTGTAAATAACTATAGCGAGAGCATATCTCCCTGCCTGCATCCTCTTCTGTTTTGTATTTTGTTACATGCAAGCTCACTGTCGTTACATCTTGATAACTTGTTTTGATAATGGTTGTATATGTTTTTTTAATTAAAGTGCTTTATGAGTTTGTGTATGGGACTGTAATTCCAATGGATATTTTCGTCTCTCAAAGGGTCACAGTGATTGTTGGAAGGGAAACAAAGCAGAGGAAATCAAATCAGATGTAGAATATTACGTCAAATGATTCAACTATAATCCACAGAATAGTCGGAGTGCTCGCTGCGATGCCAGATTACACCTAGCAGATGAACCAAGCTCCACATTTAAATAGAAATCGGAGGTGGCTGTGTTTTTAAAAGCAATGTTCCAACACTGCCCATGTATGGAGGGGCGGAGGACAGGGTGTAACTGGCGCTCATTAGCGACGGAGCAAGCAGCGGAGCTGACGCGGGAGCGCGGAGACAGGCGGAGGCTGCGGGTCACAGTTTGACGTGCGCATTGGCAAACGGCCACAAATTGTTCAACGTCCACAAAGGGAGAAAGGGAACCCATCCACCCAGCTACCCACCCACCCAGCAACCCACCCACACAGAAACCCACACAGCTACCCAGCCACCCGCCAAGCCACCCACTCAGTTACCTACCCACTCAGCTACCCACCCATCCAGCAACCCATCCAGCGACCCATCCAATCAGCTACCCACCCAGCCACCCACCCAGCCACCCACGCAGCCATCCACCAAGCCACCCATCCAGCCAGCTACCCACCCACCCAGCTACCCACCCACCCAGCAACCCACCCAGATACCCACCCACCCAGCAACCCACCCACCCACCCAGCCAGCCACCAACCCGCCCAGCCATCCACCCAGCCACCCACCCAGCCACCCACCCAGCAACCCAAAACGCAGTGGCCATTCTTATCAAATAAGTGCTTGAACTTATTTCTCTGCAATATACTCAACTTAATGGCAGTCACCATGGAAATGACGTATTTGACCGAGGGGCGCTCTGTATCCTTTGGGCTGTAGGTTCCATTGTGGGGGGATTTCTGGGGATGTTTTTGAGAATCGCTTGTATGGCTCTGGATATGTTCACATTTATTAGTGAAATGGACCCTGCTGGCTGTAAATGGGCACGGAATTGATGGTCTCTGAAAAGTATTGTACGGCTGTTTTTTTGCTGTTTAATTAAGCAGTGGCACCCATTGTTAAACGAACCGCAGATGTTCTCTGGTGTAGGTAATGGGGGCACCGTGCCCCTATGCTATGCTATCATGCTATGCACTTTCATGTCCCTTGCATTACCTCTGTGTTCGTGGCCTTTTGTGCTGCCGCTGTTTGTTCTCTCCAGTTACCGTCATGTATTTTTCCGCCACTGAGCGCTAAAATGTCCTATCATTACCATCATCATCACGGACCACGGTGTGAACCCATTTGTAACAAGTTTCCTAATGACGGGCCTGGTGAATTAATTTAACCGTGCACAAAACTTATTACTGTGCATGGTAATAATTGATCAATAACACAATTTTTGTGATCTCTATGACTTGCAAGTTAAAACAATGTCACAAGTTTCTG